CAGAAAGTTGCAAAAATTGATCACATGACTGTGGGACACAGTCTTAAGTATGAACCAATTGCCAACCATCTAAATTTTTATCACATGATCATAGAGAGGCTGCAACGGTCATAACTGAAAAACGGTCATAAGTCACTTTTTTACAGTGCTGTTGTAACTTTGAACGGTCATTAAATGAATTGTTTATTATTTATTATTTATTATATTATATTTCTATACCGCCTTTCTCCCGTAGGACTCAAGGCGGTGTACAGTCAAGAAAAATATAGACACACAAACATCATAAAATTGCTAATTAAAATTGTTACTTAGTTTGGTCAATTAAATAAAACCCAGAATTAGATAACATTTAAAAAATCATTCGCATGTTTGTATGTTTAGCCCTGCCTGTTGGAACATCAGGGTCTTGAGGGCATGGCAGAAAGCACGGAGATCAGGGATATTCCGTATCTCCGGGGGCAGTTCATTCCAAAGGGTTGGAGCCTTCACAGAGAAGGCCCTCCCCCTGGGAGTCGCCAGTCGACATAATTTGACTGACGGTACCCTGAGTAGTCCCTCCCTGTGAGAACGAACTGGTCGGTGGGAGGCTATTGGTGGCAAAAGACGGTCTCGTAGGTAGCCAGGTCCTAAGCCATGGAGTGCTTTAAAGGTGATAACTAACACCTTGAATCGCACCCGGAAGACCACCAGGAGCCAGTGCAGCTCACGTAGGAGAGGTGTTACATGGGCGTAACGAGCTGCGCCCATAATCACCCGCGTGGCTACGTTCTGGACCAGTTGGAGCCTCCGGGTGCTTTTCAAGGGGAGCCCCATGTAGAGAGCATTACAGTAGTCCATACGGGAGGTAACTAGGGCATGAGTGTGTCGTGCGCAAGGCGTCCCGATCCAGAAAGGGATGCAACTGGCGGATCAGGCGAACCTGATAAAAGGCACCCCTGGCCACAGCCGTCAAATGATCTTCTAAAGATAACCGTGAATCCAGGAGGACACCCAAGTTGCGGGCCCTCTCTGTGGGGAGCAAGATCTCATCCCCTATTGTCAGTGATGGTACCAGCTGACTATACCGGGACGCCGGAAGCCACAGCCACTCAGTCTTGGAGGGGTTGAGTCTGAGCTTGTTTCTCCCCATCCAGATCCGCACGGCCTCCAGGCAACGGGACATCACAGCAAGGGCATCATTGGGGTGGTCTGGGGTGGAGATGTATAGCTGTGTGTCATCAGCATACTGATGAACACTCACCCCCAAACCACGGATGATCTCACCTAGCAGTTTTACATAAATGTTGAACAGAAGGGGTGAGAGGACTGACCCTTGCGGCACCCCACAAGTAAGGTGCCTCGAGGTCGACCTCTGCCCCCCTGCCAACACAAACTGTGAACGGTCAGAGAGGAAGGAGGAGAACCACCGAAGCACGGTGCCCCCTATTCCTAACCCCTCCAGCCGGTGCAGTAAGATACCATGGTCGATGGTATCAAAAGCCGCTGAGAGATCTAATAGGACCAGGATAGAGGAGCAACCTCTGTCCCGAGCCCTCCAGAGATCATCCACCAATGCGACCAATGCCGTTTCTGTGCTGTATCGTGACCTGAAGCCCGACTGGAACGGATCCAGATAGACAACTTCATCCAGGTATCGGGGTAGTTGTCGCGCCACCACACTCTCAACAACCTTCGCAACAAAGCGAAGATTGGAGACTGGACGATAATTTGATAATATAGCCGGGTCCAGGGAAGCCTTCTTGAGGAGGGGCTTCACAACCGCCTCTTTCAAGGCGGCGGGAAAGACACCCTCACTCAGAGAAGCATTTATAATCCCCTGGAGCCAGCCTCGTGTAACCTCCCGGGAGGCCAGTACCAACCAGGAGGGACACGGGTCCAATAAACATGTGGCAGCATTAAGCTTGCCCAGAATCCTGTCCACGTCCTCAGGAGCCACAGAGTCAAACTCTTCCCAGATAACACTCTCAAGACCTGCCCCCGTCTCCTCCCCTGGATCTACCCAATCGGAGTCCAGGCCTTCCCGAATTGTTGTGAATCGAGGACTTTATTTCTATCTGAAAAACCTCTTGTAGGTTGTGATGATGAAATAACACCATGTACTTTCCTGAAATTTCTAGCATGGATGAAGTAAATGGAAAAGTATTATTTACTTTTAAATAATACTTTTAATTATTAGTATTAATAATTAAATACTAGCATAAGTATTGGGGAGAAAGGATTAAATTTATATTTCAAAAGTCACAACCGAAATCTTGTGATTTATATACAGGCATCCAGTGTCAAGCTGTTACTATGAAAGGCCAGACTTAACACTCCGATTTTATAATAGATTTCCATCATTTTTCATCACTGCAATTAGCAGCAGATTCCCTTATCAACGTGACCATGGTGCTGAATTTCTAGGTTGAGAGGTGAAATAGAGTTTTTAACAGTGGGAAAATAAATCACCTATCAATTTTGTTGCCTCAATACAAAAGAAAATATCTTTTCTTGGTTTCAAATAAATGGTTTGATGTCATTATGGGAGTACAGTGTTGGTTTTCAGCTAATTCTGACCTAACTCGATGGATTCGTGTAAAAATCCATTGATCTGTATTAATATTGTTGACTGTTTTGCTCTTTCAGTGCCGGTTTTTCTCAGCTTCATCTTTTAAACTCAGCAAAAAAACAAGAAACAACCCTATGTTGTAATTAGTGGCAAATTAGTTTTGTAAACAGCCTTCTGGAGATTCACAAGTTGAAAGAAGAAAGATAAGTAAGGATTAATGAAGGGGAAGAAAACAGCTGGAATTTGTGGAACAGATGTCAAACAAAGGTAAGGTGATACAATTAAAAAATAAAAACTGCTCCTTTCTGTATTCTGATTCTGCTTGTGAACCTTGTGTTAACTGTTCAGTTGAAGCAAAGCAAACTTATATTTTCCTGGCCTCTTGGCATCTTGTACCCGAAGTCCATTTGTAACAAATCACATTATATGAAAAGCTGTCAGATCTTATGATAAATTGATACTCTCTTTCCCTAGCCCCCTGCAACAGTGAAAAATCTACTTCTAGATGGCATTTAAATGTCACTGGTCAAGAGGAAAGAAAAGATAATTGTATTTTCTTTTTAACTTTATTGATTTAGAGCCAACTAAAGATCTACTAACTTTATTAGTTATCTCTTAAAATTTGAGTTTATTTATAAGTGATAGCTTCTTTCCTACAAACAAGCACCAGAGGTAGATCCAAATTGGATCATCTAAGTACCATGCTAATTTCAAAGTATTTTTATACATTTTAAAGTATTTTTGTTCTCTTCAGTCACTAAAGCTATCAAACTGGCTTTTAAAAGTGACTGGACTGGGAGGAATAACCTTTCTTTAGTTGAAGACCTTGGGAGTAACACTGTTCGATGGTGGGAAACTTTATATTGAGAGGGGACCGTTCATTGGATGTAGTCAGCCAGAAACAGGAAGAGCCATTTGGACTTCTGCAGTGAATGGATGGTTGAACTTGATTATCTAAATGGCCCCATCTAAATTCTATGATTCCATACTTCTATGATGGGTGAATGGACTTAGGCAGTGTGTGAAGACTGAACTATGACCTCTAAGTCCAAGTCATTTTGCTCCAGAGATGAAGAGCAGGATGTTGATCTTCCATTACATGTTCAAGACATGATTGGTCTAGCAGTAAAATCTATCTTCAAGATTTTGTGGAACAAGAGTCCATACATCATTTCTAAATGTAGCAGCTTAGGGAGAACAGAGCAAATTATCTGACATACAGGTTACTCATTCAATAACTTGCTTAGGACTACCAAATGATGGCAAGAAAAAAATCATCATGACCATAGATCAGGGCTCCCTAACTCCCAGTCCGTGGACTGGCACTGGTGTGCGGCATGTAAGCAACTGGGCCACACAAACAAGCAAAGCCCCATCCATGGGATGCAGGCAGTATGCAAAACCATCCCCCCTCCAAAAGGTTGGGGGTCCAAAAGTTTGGGGGTCACTGCACTAGATGACAGCAAGGTAATACAGATGATCAGGGTGGATTCTACTTACCTTTACTACCTGTTCACAACAGGGCCACGTGCGCGCTCTTCTGCACATGCACAGAAGCTTCCTCATGACGCCGGGTTCAGTAGGCGGAGCCTCCCACCGGTTTTACTACTGGCTTTATAGAATCAGTCTGAACCGGGGGCAACCCACCACTGCAGATCAGAGGTGAAATCCAGCAGGTTCTGACAGGTTCTGGAGAACGGTAGCGGAAATTTTGAGCAGTTCAGAGAATCGGCAAATAACACCTCTGGCTGGCCCCAGAGTGGGGTGGGAATGGAGGTTTTGCAGTATCCTTCCCCTGGAGTGGGGTAGAAATGGAGATTTTGCAGTATCCTTCCCCTGCCACACCTACTAAGCCATGCCCACCAAGCCACACCACGCCCACCAAGCCATGCCCACAGAACCAATAGTAAAACATTTTGAATTTCACCACTGCTGCAGATGATACTTAATCATATGTCAATGAATGATCTTACTCAGTAACTCTGTGTGGATGTTACATAGGAGTAGAGAGAGACCTGAGGATGAGGGATCCCACAGGTAAGGTGGTGAGTGGCATCCTGATTTTGGTTTGGGTCAGGAGTTTGGACCTTTGAGACCTTTCTTACCAACAGCTACTGAAATCAATCCTGAGGGAATTCCCCACCCTTGAAGTCAGTCCAAAATACTATATCAATGGCATCAAGGCCATTGAGAGATCAAAGAGATTTAGAATGGGTACACCATCCCAAACCAAGTTCTATTAGAGATAATCAACAACCATGTATGATCAATACTATTTCAGTAAGATATCCTATTCTGAAAGCTGACTGAAGGGGATCCAGATAATCTGCTTCTCCCAGAGCCATTTGAAGCTACAACCACCCTTTCAACAAATTCCCCAAAAGGAGGAGATAGGAGACTGGATGAAAATTGGCCAACGCACAGTACACAAATGAAAGTACAGTACATCAGATTAATTGGATTATCAATATAGAGTATTTATTGAATGGAAAAAGGGATTATGCAAAACAAAATTATTTTACAAGTTTAATGTGCACTAAACCAACAAAATGACATACTACAAAACAAGTAAATTTTTCAAACAAAAATAAACACAATTATGTCTTATGCACAAGATCAAAACATTTAATAACCAACAAATAATGTTACAAATATTAATGAAAGTGCTTAGTTCTTAAATATTTGTCTAGCTTTGAACAGCTGAAATGTGTCAAGCTCTTTTTATATGTCTAAAGTTTTATGGTGCCTATCAAGACAAATTCTTACCATCCTAAAGATTGCCGATGTTTTCATTTTATGTAGCTCAGCTCTGTATTTATTAATATCTTCATAGGCAAACTTTATTAACAATGACAAATAGAAAAATTTACTATGTAGGTAAAAAGCTCAGGGTCTTTTACTGATTACTAGAAAATTTAATTTAATTTCTTTGTTTTCATGTAACTTCTTAGAATATGTTCAAAAAAACCCACCTCCAAATAGCAGACTGACTGGCTGAAATTTCCTAAGCAAACTGGGCAATAGTTTTACATGAAGCAAATGTGTTTGCTTGCATGAAATTAAAGCAGAAACCATACATTCTTTGCAAATCCATCTTGGTGTTGCTTTGCATAGGAGCTTTATTTTAACTCACAGATATCATGGCAATGACTATCATGAAAGTAAACGTAAAAATTTCCCCTGTCCAGTCATTTTTGACTCCAAGAGGTGATGTTCCTCTCATTTCTTAGCCAAGGGAGCCAGCGTTGTCCAAAAACAATTTCCATGGTCATGTGGCCAGCATGACTGTATGCCAAAGCACACAGAACGCTGTTAACCTTCCCATTGAAGTGGTACCTATTTGTGTACCTATTTGAAGTGGTACCTATTTGTGTACCTATTTGTCTACCCACATTTGTGTGTTTCCAAACTGCTGGGTGAGCAGGAGCTGAGGCAAGTAACCGGAGCTCAACCAATCACACAGCACTCGGATCTCGAACTCGGATCTGTCAGCCTTCCAGCTAACAAGCTCATCATCTTTAACCGTGCCCCCATGCCTACTGTAAAGGGTTGTCTTAAAATCTCTGGAGTTTAAAATATTATTATATATGAAAGGGAGAATAATGAATAGAACTACCACATCTGCAAAAACCACATCTGCAAAAATCCAGACAGCCACTGGGTGGCAGCGAAGTGGTTTCCTGTGTCTCTGCTGTGACTATCATTTTGTGGCCATTCAGCTCTGAATTAAAGTCTGGTTGCCCCCCTTGAAAGTGCAAACTTTTTAAAAAGGGGGGGGAAGAGCCACCATAATTGGTTCGGTATGGCAATTTATTACTAGCAATTATTTCAAGTCTAAGGATGGATGCAATGGGAAAAGAAGCTTCAGAGGAACATAATAAACAGGTTAACTATAAGCAATCATTTCAATTTTTTTTCTTATGTGCCATTCCACAACTCAGAGTGTAAGCAGTAGCTTTGTCTGAGGCTACCATTCAAAAAAACGCAGGAGGTTAATGTATTTTAAGAAAAGGGACAACATAAGGTTTCAGAACTATAACTGCAGTATTGCTCATCAAGTTCATGCATATCCTCTCAGGCTACCTAAACAATTCCTGGCCAACCACTGTAAAATATGTATTAAAAAAACAACAACCTGAAAAATAAAGTCTGTAAAATATATTTATTTGCAAATATTCCTCCCATCTAACAATGTAATTAAGTTGTTGAACTGCAAATAGGGTGATCTAGATTGAGGTCTACATTCCATGAAGATCAGTGGGTGACTTTAGGGCTAATCACTATGTGTCAGATGGATCTGTCTCACCAGGTAGTCAGTGGTGGGTTCCTCCCGTTTCGGCCAAGCCGGTAGCAGTGACGATATGATGTCACTGAACCGGTTCTGGCCCACCCGCTCCCCCCCTACATTATTCTTACCTTTTATTTGGTCTCACCCCCAATCTATTGCTGCCTCCTGAGTCCCAGGAGGGACTAGAGGGAAAAAAAACTGTTTAAACTTTTGCTGTGGGGCTTCAAAGGGCTGCCCTACAGCTGATCAGTGTTAAAAGAAAACAAATGAGTAGACCGATGCCTGCAAAAATAAATGGGTAGACCACTGCCTGCAAAAATAAATGAGTAGACCAGTGCCTCCAAAAACAAATGAGTAGACCCGTACAGCTCTGCAAGCAGTTAAAAGCCTGGTAGACCAGTACCTCTGCTAAATCCTAAAGAATTGTCACATGACCATCAAGCCACACCCACAAAATAAGCGACACCCACAGAACTGGTAGTAAAAAAATTTAGAACCCACCTCTGAAGGTAGTATAGATCCAATTGCCCATCCCTGCAACCATTTTGAACTCCAAGTTGAAAGATAGAATCTACGGTAGATGTAATGAATCCAGGGAATAGATTTACTTTCCTGGCAGTGAACTGTGCAGAGTAGAAACTGAGTAAACATTCATAGAATAGCACAGTTAATTACACCTTGAGTCTGATCATTCTGCAGTGGATCACAGGACTCAAATAACTATCCCTGACAATGGGATAGGAAAGAATCAGAATGTTTATTGTTTCATCTGGAAAAAAAAAACCATTACAATACATGCCTTATAACCTAAATCTTTCTACTTTTTTCATATAAGTATAATCACATCCTTTTTCTCATAACAGAAACATTTTGCAAAGTGAATGCAGTCATGGTTATGTATGATTGCAACTATCATATGCCTACCCCAGTCATTTGAATCTTCCATTATGCGTCAACTTCTGTTATTATTGATAGTTTATTCTTTTCTTCTTAAAAAGAGCTTTTGTTGCTATTGTACGCTGAGGATGGTTTTTAATTCATCTGGCAGAAGTAAGTCTTTATAAAGAGTTCCTGTTTATAGAAATTCCACTGTTCATATTTGGATGCTAAGCGATACTTTTGTGGTATAGCAAGGAACAATCTCTGTAAAGACAAAGCATAAATATACCACATTAACTGGTTATTTTGTGGATAGCGTAACTTTTTGAAAACAATTAGGCGGATATTAAAGCCAAGTTTCTAATATAGCTGAAAGAATCCATCTCTTTTGTTCAAAACTAATTTTCATATTATGAATCGTTTCACTGAAATGCATGTACCATTTTAAATAGAAAAATCCCATTATTTTTAATACTATTCTTACTCGAAATACAACTGGTGTTCATAGGGAAATAATGTGTTGAACAAAAGGGAGATGCTTCTGAGTCTCTAATGGATGCATGGAATCCAGTGTCATCTAGTATAAGATAGACCAGAAATACATGCAACAAGGGACCATGCAAGAAAATGTTTAAAAATGTTCCAAGGATGATAAATAACACTCCATCTATAAAATATGCAAATAATTCCCAGAACCCCCAATTGTTTTTAATAAATTAATAAACATCCCCAATCTTCTGAGATCGTCAAATCTTTTGAAATTTCAGCATTTTTGCATGTGAAATGATTCCCAGATACCTGACTTGGGATAAAATATGAGAATGGCATTAAAATAGGCTCTATGTATGATTCACCGTTGGTAGGACCCAAGCCATCTTCTGCTCTTTCCCGCATACCAGGCAAGTTCCCTATTGCCTTCAAATAAGCCTCTCTGTTACTCATGTTCTATTGGCCTCTCTTGAAGATCAAGTTAATAAAATGATTTTATTTACAGGTATTGACTTCCAGTAACAAGGCAATTCTATTTTTGCTGCCGAAGAACTAAATAGGGCTTTATCTCTGCTATACTGTAGTTTTCTTTTTGCTTCCCGTTCTGTTTCCTGTAACTGTTGAATTCAAGATTGGAATTTATGATATGAACCAATTATTGGTACATGAGAGAAAGAGAAAATGTTTGGATTGGCTGTGGATTGGCCCTGCTAGTCTGTGGGATCCTTGGTGCTCTCTGAGCTTGGATGTTTTTTGCAGAGATTTCATTACCCAACTAGGTAACATCATCAGTGTTAGAAGGGAATGGAGTTTGCTTGCCCTGTCAGTGTTGGTGGGAGTATTCTTGGTAGTTCCTTCATTAGGCTGTTGCTTGCCATTTGTCTGAGTTGGTAGTTCCTTGATTGGGGTATTGTTTACTTCTTGATTGTTGGTCTAGAATTAATGTTGGTGTTTATCTCTGCTTACCTCAATCTGAAGTGTTGATTGCTGGTGAGGAGATGTTTTGTTCTTATTTCCTTTTTAGCTTTTTGATTATCTATTTTGAATGGTATGTAGATGTTGTATATCCATATGTGCTTGTTGGTGGCTGATTTGTCTGAGTGCCAGGCTTCCAGGAATTCTCTAGCATTTTTTGACTTGACTCTAGTCTATCTCAGTGCTTAATACAGGAAGTTAAGCATCTTCAACAGACAAATGGGGCATAATACACCATTGTCTCTGAGCCACTCCATTCCCCTCTCTTTCATTTGTCCCACTCCTATTCTCCATTCCTTTTTTCTCTCTGTTTTATTACAGTCCATACCTTCCTCCCCATCTCATCCCTTTTCCATTTCATCCCACTGAACCCAGAGGCCACATGATAATGAATGTTCCTCCCTTATCCAAGTTAAGCAACTGGTGCCATTGGTTCAGGCATTAGATGGGTTTATATAATATACAAATCCCTGGTTTATTGAATTAACTGTGGTAAGATGAATTTATAACACCCTGAACCACAAATTACTGACCAGAATATTTCTGATCACTTAACAACTTTGCTAAAATCAAACCAACCTTATTACAGCATAAAACAAACTGAAACAGGTCACTGTCAGTCACTAAGGCAATTTAAGACCTTAGTTAGACTCATTCTTTATTTTATGATAGCATATTGTATCTTGTTAATGGGTTGAAGGAACATTCCCCATTTCTGTTTTAGAATCCTTTTAGGATTCTGGACTTAGATTAGTTTCTTTGAACAGCTACAATAAAGTCTATAACATGCTTGTTATACCTGATAGCTTGTGGCCTGACACTCACAGCTATACACATAACCTTCCTGATCATTATCCAAAAAAGGTTCTGCCTCATACCATCACTTTGTAATCCATTTGTCAGCTCCTTCCCTCAATGGCTCCCAGCTGGAGTAAATATTTAGTTTCATGTTGTGTAAATAATCTATTTGCTCTAAAAATGACAATGATTGGTAAGCACTTATGGCACAGTTTGACTAAACGGGAATAAAAACAAATATCTTAACATTTGTGGTCTAGGCAACTTCTGACAAAACAAAACAAACGTAGATTGATCTCTATATCAAACAAACATCCTGATTCAAAAACCTAATTCTACCGATAACCAAAACCATATTTTAACTTTTATTGACAATGGCAATATTCGCTACCCAACTCTAGTTTCATTTTTATTGGCATTGGGATTTTTCCATGTATTTTACTGTGGTTCATAAACAACTCCAAACGAAAAGCTGTCACCATCACTTTCCTTAGAGAACTTCTAAGAATCTATCACTGGTATCTGTTTTCAGTCCTGACTCCAAGGAGACCTAATCCTAATCCTAACTCTAACCCTAATTCTAACCCTAACCATGACCTAATTTCATTTTCATTTGCAAAATGATTTTCCCATGTACTTTAATGTGATCCACAAATAAGTCCAAACTGTAAGCTATCATTGTGCATTTCTTAGAGAAACTCTACAATTTATTGTTCTGCCCTGACTCCAAGGAGACCTAACCCTCACCTTAGTTTAATTTTCATTGGTAGTTGGCTTTTTCGCCATGCAGTTTACTGAAATTTTCAGCAATCAATGAAGAGAAAGCAGATGTTGAAGCTTATTCCCTGTGCTTAAATATAACTGTGAATATTGTTTGATATGTGCATCAATTTTCTATAATAAATATCAATGGACAGACAAAAATGTCAGGAGTTGAGATTTTATCGTATTAGTTTTCCACCTTCATCACTTATCATGCATCCATAGTCCATTCAATCTACAGGATATTTCATTTTTGTTGGATCTGCACTTCTGATTTCAAAAAAAACCTGGCATGTATGGAGTGATTTCTAGATACATTTTCCATGAATGAAAAATCTTAATCTTTTTAACTTTCTGTGTGTCATTCTGCTATTAAAGTCATAAATAAAGAAAAAGAAAGGAGCAAGTTTTTGATTTTTGATTACATGCTTTAAAAGAAAACAATGGACAGAAAGAAGGGCAAAAGCAAAATTGGGAAACCATCACTTCTGTGAAGTTGCTTTAATATTCATTCTGTAATTGTTGGCAGATATGGGAATAAAATGGTCTGCCAGGAATTAAAGCAAAAGGGTAACATTTGCTTGACTATAAAGGAGCATGCTAGATGCTAGAGAGAAAAGGAAAACCTTTTAAAATTGCCCTCACTTTCCTTTCGGAGATGCTGTGTGCGTTTTTCTATCATAACAGTTAGAAACTAGCTTTCTTTTTAAAAATAGAAACACTGACATTGCTACGCTGACTTCCAATACAATTATTTTATTTCTTCACTTTTAGTAGAAGCTAAAATGTCTGTAGTGCTGTAGCTGACAGATTCCTCAATTTAGCAGACAGCTGGATTGAGGGTATGTACTCTCTCTCCCCATAATGCTTAGTTGTCTCTACTAAATTCCAGGTTCCTTATGAAATGCTTTACATGGAACGAACAGGCATATATGATTCAATATTTTCCGAAATGTGTCCAGAAAATCAGTTAGAATGAAAAGAAAATTAGCTTGGAGTTTCATTTAGATGCATCCATACCTCTCTCTTGTATATCCATAATGTAGGCTTTCATAAATTCTTTTTCAAACAGTTCACGATCGCGGTCACTTTCTGTTATTTCTTCAATCCCCTGAAATGAGGTTGTTTCAAGAGGGTTATCCTTCAGGCTTATAAATCTGCAAGGTGATGACATATTACCATGAAAAGGGTTATATAATGCTTCTTATCGTGAGCAGATTGTTATTTGCTATATCCACATGATTTGTAGCCCTATAAATTTTCTCTTCTTCCGACTTTGTTGCAGAGCAAAGCCAATTTTGTCCGTCAACAAAACTTTGCTGCAATGTTCAGTGTTCATAACACTCATTATCTATTAGAATTATTAATTAAGAAGTATCTTTTCTAGAAGCAAGCATAGAAAACCGTAAAAGTGTAAGCTTAATAATTAAATCAAAAAAGTACTCCCATGTGTCTTGATGCACTGAAGCTGCTTATGACACGTCACAGTCATTGAATATTAATTTGTATGGCTTTTTTTAAATTTATTTATTTTTTAAAATATTTTTTATTAAACAGTTTGTCTTTAAAAACAACACAAAAAACAATCACACATATATAAAAACAAAACATGTCAAGACATAACGTATTGAACATTACATGACATTAATGGTAATTTTATAGCATTTCATATCGACTTACGTATTTTGCTTTTGTAGTTCTCTATTCTATCATTTCTATTTACTACTCAATAGTAGGATAATTGTATTACTCCAACATATATATATATATATATATATACACACACATTATAATATTCATTGTTACACATACACATTTATATTCATTTATATTTACATCTCTTTATTTAATGTTGTTCAGTTACTTTAAGTTTCATCAATATTAAGTTAAACATTTCTTGTTCTGATTTCTATTTTCGAGCCAACTGCACATTTTATTCCATATTTCATAATATTCTGAATCCTCTCTCTCTTTCAACTCCATAGTCATTTTATCCATCTCTGCGCATTCTAGAATTTTCCTAATTACTGTTTCGTCTGAGGGTACATTTTTTTGTTTCCAATTTTTTGCGAATATGATTCTTGCTGCGGTAAGTATGTGCAATAAAATGTATTGAAGGTTTTTGTTCATTTTCGGTTCCAGTATTCTAATAAAAACAATTCACGTTTCAAATCTATTTTTTGCTTTATAATTTCTTCCAACCATTTTTGAATTTGACACCAATACTTCCTTGTGATGAGGCACGTCCACCACATGTGGTAGAATATTCCAGATTTATGGTTGCATCTCCAACAATTAGGTGATAAATTGGGATACATCTTGGCCAATCTCGCTAGTGGCAAATGCTGGTGGCAAAGGTTTTCTTTGTAGGCAACTGCTGTTGTGAGTTTGTAGTTCCTTTCCCATAGTTTGTCCTTTCCTTTTTTTAAAAAACGAACAAACCCCCACACACAAAAACTATTGCCAATTTATAGCAGGAGATTAGGAGCAATGTAATGCCCAGAATCTCATTTGTGTATTGTTAACAAAGAGCTCTGATCCTCCTTATCCAGTTTTGTGGAATATTTATTCCTAATGATTTTTTGACTAGCCTCTGAGAACAGGACTGTTTTCAGAGGCACAAGCCTTGGTCCTTATGCTAGTATGGACCGAGTGGTCTTTTATTTGGGAAAAAAATATTATGCAATTCACCAGGCTCACACATATTTTACTTTATGCATTGATGATGCATAATTGCACTCTAAATCATAAATGAAAATAATTGCTCTTACATGCTAAATGTTAATTTTAGCCTACCTCTTTGCTGATTAAGACATAGCTGCTATATTTGATATTGTGCTGCCTATTCTGAAAAGAACCAAGACAATAACTGGAGTGATCCTCAAAAGACCACAGGCCATGTATTTATTCCAATATGTTTAAGATGCATGGCATTAACTACTTAAACTACTGTATTCGCTCATATTAATGCATGGGTAGACGTATCGCAACTTTGTGGAATCATGTTACATGATGCCTTTTACTTAAGATCCACCCAATTCAGAATCCAAACAAATAGGAAGAAAATGTGTCTGAATGTAGTTGACTTACTTTAAGCCGGTGGAAGAGTTACAGATGGCTGTGGGCATCTGAACCAAATCTTCACTACTCACAACCAATAAACTGAGTTTTGGCAAGTTGACCAAAGCTTGTGGAAGGTAGGTCAGCTTGTTTTTCTGCAGAAGAAGAGTTTGTAACTTCTCTAGCCTTAGAAAATTAACAAAATGGTAAAATTAATTGTGCATTATAGAATCACAAATATATACATATACATATAAACATATTGTTTAATACCTGTAATATATATTAATAACTGATATATTTTTAATCAAGCTCATGAAGTAAGATGAATGTGCAAACCCAACAAAATAATTGCCAGGTGTGAAAAGTGTCATTTGTTTGATGTTCTCTTCTATCCTAGGTTAAAAGACAGGAATCACTGTTTGATTTCACATTGGTGGCAGCAGAAAAATTGTTGACATGCAAATTTTTGAAAGGCAGAGTCAATGAACACCATTTCGTGGCCTCTCAATCCATTATCTCTGCAGAGTTTCCAATTTATGCATAACTTATACATAACTATTTATATGGCACATATAAGGAGAATATGCTACATGAAACCCAGCGTGTTCAAACAATAAATCACACAAATTGTTTTTATAGTTCCGCTGCCTTTTGTTTTAGACTTCTGTAATGAATGTGAAATTAAAATGGAGCGAATGAAGCACTTACTTAAAAACTTATGAATGTCAGTTTACCTACTCATTTCTTTCTGGGTTGCAAAGGTAGGATTGTGAAAAACAAGTCAAATTCATGCTGTTTTCTTACACTTATCAAAGGAAATTTGCCCAATTTTCAAGTTTAAATGAGTGCTTAGATGCTGCTGGGTGAGACAGGAAAGTGTGTGTACATGCAAATCCAGCATGATTGCTTTAAATCCGATAATATTAATTGGAGAGAGCTGACTTCTGAATCCTGTGTGCATATAATGTTATCAACAGACTCCTTTGGTTGATTTCTGTACCTTAATCTATCAAAAATATAACTTGAATTGTGAGTAAATTGCAGAATTCTACTGTATCTGAGTAAGGACACTTCCCCCTCATTTTCCTTCAAGACCCATTCCAGACCTGATTGATCTTGCAGCATCTGTTTTTAGAAGCTCAGACAATTTACTTTTAAGTTTGCCTTAGTTTATTGGAAACTGCCGTTGGTATTTTCCGTTGATAAATATAGATCTACCAATTTTGTGTACTCTATTTTCCAGGGACTCATCCTGTTCCAAACCTCAAGACAACGATATTCTCTCTCTCTCTCTCTCTCTATGACCCTGACCTTCTAGGAGTAAGTGAACCTCAAAGACAATGGAAAGTAAGCCTAACATATCTGGACTGAAAAAAATTCAAATGACCACAAAATAAATTAGGGTTTTCTGAATCTACCTGTCACCATCTACCTATCAGCTGGATTTCTTCAGCCTACACTTTGTTTGTTTGTTTGTTTGTTTGTTTGTTAAGTACTATCTGTGCTTGATGGTTTTCTTGCAAATGTTTCATTACCCAAACTAGATAACTACATCAGTGCTAGTAAGGATGTGGTTTGCTCTCAGTTTATATTCTAGTGGCTTGCCCTGTCAGTGATGGTAGGAGTGGTCTTGGAAGTACTTTGGTTGGGCTGTTTACTGTTGGCTTGTTGTCAGTTCCTTGATGGGGTATTGTTTACTTGATCATTGGACTGATATTAATCTTGGAGTTAGTTTATGTCCATCTAAGTGCTGCTGCGGCGGTATGAATGACACCAGTAATCCCTCATGTCAATCCTCAGCTACAAATATTCTCCTTTATTGGTTGTTTATAAAATTTATTGACCGCCCATTATACCACAGGCTAACTCTGAGCAGCTTATGATCATAAAAAATATATACATATATGTATGAAAGCATAATTAATGTAATATGAGCAAACCCCATGATCCAATTACAGATGGGGAGGGCGGGGCAGGATGGGGCAGGATCTATTGTTACTTGATCAGCCACCTCCACTGTGATTTTCCCGCATTGGGCCCCAAACTAAACTGGCAGAGCCAGGTCTTTAGGCTCTTACAAAAGGTCAGAGTGTTGGGGGTTGACCTCACATGGGGGGGGGGAGAACAAAATATTCCACAGGGCAGGTGCAACAGCAGAGAAGGCCCTTCTCCTGGACCCCAAAGCTAGATTTTCTTTCCACACTGTTAGAGGAACACCATCCTGCACTTCAAACATCTCCTTATACATTGGCTAAAAGTTATCTTTGTTCTTCCACATCAAACAATCATAGCAATGTGAAGTCTGGGTCACCTGTACTGGGAAACACACCTGATTGAAAAATTGCTAGGATTTCAGTGCAGAATCTCAGAGGGATGTTGAGGAACAACACTGATTGGTTTGTGATATTATCTGGGTATATTCTTAGCAATTGAGGACGGGAGAAGTGAAGATTATTGTGGATCAGTTTCAGATTGCTTTGTACGAGGAGACAAGGAAGCCCTGTCTTCAACAGCGTTGTAAAATCAGAGCTTTGTGACTCTAGCATAAATGAGCTTGACAGTTTTCCAATCACTTACAAATGTTGACAAAATAGCCAGGCAATGCTTTATTTGCTAAAACCAACTGTCACTGCAAAAACCATATAAAAATCTACCTGTCTATGTCTTGTGGGAGATCTCTCAGACCGTTGTTACTTATATCAAGCCACTGCAGATTTGACATCCGGAGTACACATATTGGGATTGAAAAGAATTTGTTTGTTGATACATCTACAAAGCTCACTTGTTTCAAATTGCTTAGCTGTAAAGAAGCAGAATGTTATTTAATAAAGATTCGAATGAGGAAATAGACTACAATTATAGTTGATATTTTGCTGGCTGAATGAGGTCAATTGTGCTATGTTGCCTATTTGCCATAAGGCTACACACTCCATTATTTTAAAAATGAGGCCATGTTCAGAATTAAACATTTTCAGTATTTCTTATTTGTTGCATGCAATGTTCATCTTCCCTCAGGGAAGTTCTATGTTTAATAGACTATTGCATTTTATCTGACTGAAACAACAATATGTTACAGGTTGGTATTCACAGTAGTTCCTATTGAATAGGATTTTGAATGACATAATTCTATGATTATGCCAATGCCATGTCTAGGTTTTAAAATAGATTTATGTCTCCTAAATGAGTATGACTTTACCACTCAGTAATTGCCAAATGTTCAATTACTTTATTTATTTTTTTTAGAAAAGATAATAAAAAAATAAGTTGTTTTCTTTCCAGAGCATCCGCAGGCTATGACCAAAAATGTTGAGATAGTGACCATAGTGATGAGGTTGAAGTACCATCTCTTTTTTATGCCTGCAACATAAGGCACAGAGAGAGCTTCAATTTCACCATCATGGAAGCCAACTTGACTTTTTTGCACATACATTGTAAATATTCTTTTTTCTTCCTCATAGTGTGTACTACCTAAACAAAAGAAAAGGTGGCAATATCATCCTATATAGAGAAATGGATGAGGCCTGACAGTTGAATCTTCTACAGATCATTTAAAGACAGCAAGCAACAGCATTGCTAGGTAGGGCTCAAGACAGACAAAATGATGAATATGGTATTGTGATTAAAGCCTTGATTCTTTGTAACTGTGTATAACATTGATGAACATATAAAAAGGGCAAGACTTGGATGCTTCAACTGCAACCTTGCCAATGTTGACCCTTGCAGATATTTTTCTGGGGACTGGAGGCTAAAACATATGAAGAATGGTTGCAGGAACTGGGTATGTCTAGTTTAATGAAAAGAAGGACTAAGGGAAACATGATAGCAGTGTTCCAATATCTCAGGGGTTGCCACAAAGAAGAGGGAGTCAAACTATTCTTCAAGGCACCTGAAGGTAGAACAAGAAGCAATGGATGGAAACTAATCAAGGAGAGAAGCAACTTAGAACTAAGGAGAAATTTCCTGATAGTTAGAACAATTAATAAGTGGAATAACTTGGCTGCAGAAGTTGTGAATGCTCCAACACTGGAAATTTTTAAGAAGATGTTGGATGACCATTTGTCTGAAGTGGTGTAGGGTTTCCTGCCTGGGCAGGGGGTTGGACTAGAAGACCTCCAAGGTCCCTTCCAACTCTTATTCTGTTTCTTCTGTTTCTATTTCTTTTTACAGTCAATTCATTTGGAGATATCAGGCAAGCTGAATACCTCAGAGATTTTTGTCCTCCAAAATCAGGGGACCTCCTAGGGCCTTAAAAGAGTAGAGTGGGGTGAAATTATACTTTCTTTCTCACATATACACATATATAATAAATCCATCTCAGTTGCTTAATAACAGATCAGATTGTGTCACATCTACTTTCACATACTGAGCAGAAAGATGAAGAAAAGGTTAGGTATTAACTGTAAAAATCTGATAAATGTGTTTAACATGGCACACAAATAGATGTTTCATTTGAGATTTCTCCAAATCCAGTAAGATGAAGTTCAGGAAAGATAGTCTGAATATTCAAATATTGCTATTATTACAATATCAATATGAGTCCAAGATGGAAACCAAGAAATACAGAAAACTCAATCTTTTTTTTTTTTTTTACAATTCTTACAATCCATATAAGGTAATTCTCTTGTAGGAGACATCATAAATATATTTTAAAGGATATTTACTATGATATTGGCATAGTAAGACTGGTCAGATTGGTTGAGTAATCGTGGTGGCACAGTGATTATATTGAAGTATTGCAGATTAACTCTTGCCCACTGCCAGGAGTTCGATCCTGACTGGCTCACAGTTGACTCAGCCCTCCATCCTTTTGAGGTCAGTAAAATGAAGACCCAGATTGTTGGGGGCAGTATGCCAACTCTGTAAACCACTTAGAAAGGCAATGGAGCAGTATATAAGTATGCTATTGCTATTGCTATTGAATAGTATATTCTTGTAGTAAAAGCAAAATTGTACCTCTTCTCATAGATTGGGTGATTCCCTACTGGGGATTCATAATCATTATCTTTAATCAATTAGCTTAAAAGTTATGATGGTAACAGTTGACAATTCTAAATGAGAAACTATGCACATCCCTTCATAAATGTTGAGGCTCTCCAAATCATACATTTCAATAGTCCTTTAAAAGATGACAGAGAGAAATGTTATGTGACTAACAACCTGCTAACCAACTTTAGAAATAAATATTTGAAGGAAAAGTAGCTCACAGCAGTAGCACCATTTTATTATTACTATAAAAATGATTTATGGCAGTACACTAAATTCTTTTGCCTGAATAACAGTTTTCCAAAGCATGTCTTTTAAAAAAACTATATTGCTGGATTCAAAATTAATTATCCAATCCAAAACAGATATTAAAGGAAATAGTGTTTTTATTCTTACTCAAACAAAATAATCTCCATTGTCAAAATGTATGAAATTATTTAATATATGGTTGTTAGAAGAAAGGTAAAAATACTAACCTAACAGTGTAATCTGGTTGATTTATTAGTGGCATGTGGAATCTAAAACTGTTCTTCCTAGCTTTAAAGGCAGCATGGCCAAGGCTGAGAATTAACTGAACTAACTCCAACTGGTTGGATGATTTGACATTAGCCATTCAGCTCAGGGATGGGCTGTTGGGGGTTCGCAGCTAAGATTCTGTGCAGTTCAGAGAACCCCAAAATCCCACTCCTGGCTGGCCCCGCCCACCCCACCCCACCCCTCCCAGGAGTCACCACATGGCCCTTTTGGATGCAGGTAAGTGCAGGGCACGCACAGAGACTCGGGGAGGGTGAAAAATGGGCCTACTGGAAGTTCAGGAATGCCGGAAATGGACCTGTTTCTGGCCTCCAGAGGGCCTCCAGAGCCTGGGATGGCCATTTTCACCCTCCCAGAGGCAAAGCCTCTGGAGCCCGGGGAAGGCAAAAATGCCCCCCCCCCCACTGTGGTGCAGGAGGCCAACTAGGCCATGCTTACCATGGCCACACCCACCCAGAAACTGAGCAGAGAACCCCTTGCTAATTTTTTTTATTGAAAAGTTTTATAAGAGATACAAACAATTTTCTCCCCCCCCACCCTTTCCCCCTCCCCACATAATAGAAAATGTACATTTTCTTATACATAGTAAATTCTACATATACATGTTTCCCTTAAAGAAAGCATTAAAATAAGGCATTTTTCTTATTTTCCTCCCCAAAAACTAAGGTGCGTTTTATACTCCGAAAAATACAGTAGTTTGGAGAAATAAGGCATTTTAATTACATTCAGAATTGCTCTTCTTCTCTTTCTTCCCTCATTCCACAACAAACCTTCTTCTCCTCCTTTCTTTCCCTTCCCTCTCTCCTCTTCTCTCCTACTTTCTCCTTCCTCTTCTCCTACCTCATCCTACTTCCTTTTCCTTTCCCACACTTCTCTCTTCTTTTTCCCCTTCTCACCTTCTCTCCTACTCCTATCCCCTTCCCTTTCTCCTCTCCTTTCTTCCATTCCTCTCCCTCCCTTTCCTCTTCCTCCCCTCTCCTCCTCTCTCCTTACTTCTTTGCTGTGGAATATTCTCCTCCTTTAGTATCTGAGCAACTCCTGTATTCTAATCATAGATACTTTCTTTCAGTTTCTTTCAGATTTATTCTATCTATCTGCATTATCTTCCTAATTGTACATTTATTCTTATAATCTTCTAACTATCGCAACTTAATCTTATCATTTCATTTATTATTACATTTCCCCCACATTTGCTTTTCTATTAAAACATTACATCTTACTCCTCCAATAACTATCATTCTTAATATTCTTAATCTTGTCATTTCATTATTTATATATTTCCCCCACATTTAATTTTCTGTTAAAACATTTCTCTATTCAACACTTTTATCCCACCCCACCCCTTATCCCAGCCTCCCCACCACCATGGCTTCTAACCACCACCATGGCTTCTAACAAACATATGCTATAATAAGCTAACTATCTATAAAATTCAAAACTCACACGCGTTCTTTAACTCCCCTTACTCCAATTCATCAACCTCCCTTTTATAAATTCTCAAGACCAATTAAGTTAAATTCCTTCTTCCTAGTTATAAAAAACTTTTTCTTAATGTATAATCCAATACTTTAACAATGTTACAAACAGTGAAAATCATGGCTAAATTTCATCTCCACACCCCCGAACATCATTCTTTTTAAGCATTACTCCCTAATAGAGTTCTAAATTTAACATTAATCCTCTTTCCTTCGAAAAAATTGGGCATGTTAAAATCTTAGACATTTTATCACATATATCTTTTAAAATAACATAATCTTATGTTAAACATTTTAAAATCTCTTAATACCATTAAAACACATATTTACCAACTACAAATTTCAGAATCTACAGGAAGATATCTTTCAAATTTTCAATTAGCCATTTTGATACCTCTGACTTCTTTTTTGTTATTATATCATTTTGTCCTAAAGTAGCCTTTAACAATACCAATGTAATTAAACTTTTCAGTTTATTACTAGAGTCTTCCTTCCCCGAAAAGAAAAAAAGAGCAAATACTTAATTTTCTGTTCTTCCCTTCTTTCTATATTTTTTCCAATCCTTTTTTTTTATAAATTCTTTCAACATTCCCCCCAATTTTATTTTGGAAAATTTTAAAATGTTGATTTGAGATTGATGTTTCTGAAATACTCGCTCTCTTCTTGAGGTCACGTTTTCTAATTTGAAATCCCCATTTCGACTCTTCTTGCTTGTGTAATCATTCAGTCCATTCCTTTGTCCATATAGCCAAAATTTGTTGCCATAAAGATTGTCAGCTTGCAATAAAGAGTCTATTTGTTGCTTTTC